CCTAACTGTTTCAAATATTCAGTAGTCTTGTGAGCAGCGTGTGAGGGAGCATTACCTTGCATAAAAAACAATGGTCCTTCTGAAGGCAACTCTTTGCCTTTTCATCCACGGTTCAAGATGCTCCTTCATAAACGCTATGTATGCTCTCCATGTGCCCACTAATGTGTTTCCAATAATACCACCCCAGATCATTATGCCTCCACCGCCTTGTTGGCGTCTCAAACACTGATGGTGATTCTGTCCGTTCATTACCCAGCCTTTGCACCATTTATCTGGCCCATCAAGTGTTGCTCGAGTTTCGTCTGTGAACAAAACTTTAGAGAAGTCAATCTTCATATTGTCCTCGGCCCATTTCAGTTGATTTTGAATGTGATTTCTCGTCAACGGAGACTTCGATACAGGTTTGACTGTTGTTGCTATTTCCCTCAGACACCGACACCGAGTACTTTTAGGATCCCCAGTTCGACTTAAAAGCTCTTGACTGGTAAGTCCAGGGTTCTTCGTGGCCTCTCGTTAAAGTCGTGACATGAGACGACGTGAAATAACCCTCGGCTTGCCTTTATCTACCCTTTTGCGTACTTGTGTAGGGTCGGCGGTAAATTTTTCACTGTTGGATGACAGTTCACTATCATTTTAAAAATTTCTAGGATAGATATACCTTTTGAGAGTTCTGAGGTAATAGTTTTCTTTTCAGCATCACTTAAACTGCTTTTACGGCCCATCTTTTCACTAAATTCTTATACTTTTCTAATAATTTGGCACGCTCGAATCACTGTGCTGATAACAAATATGGCGTCAGTTTGTTTACATTGCGAAAGATCAGTACGAAATTTTCAGCGTGTGAATTGATTGGACGGTTTTTGAAATATTAGAAAAAAATTTATCTCGATAATAATTTGGCACGCAGTGTATATATATATATATATATATATATATATATATATATATATATATATATATATGAATAAATTCCCAAGAAGATAGAATCCAGGTAGAACTCAATGTCCAGGACAGATTAAGAATATATATATATATATATATGAAAAAATGAGATATACATTTTTATATGTTAAAAAAATATGCGAAATTTAAAAGTTTAAAATTTCAGCCACCTCTCCCCTTCATGTGCACGCGTAGTTACATCAACGTAAACATCTCTTTAGTCCAACGGAGTCCTAAATGACAAAACGCATGACACGGAAAATTTCGTCTCCTTTGACATTAATTCTCGTAACATTCGAGCAATTACCATGAAAGTATTTATAGAAAAGCCACAAAGAGGCAATCTTACTGTGGTGGGAAAATGACTGAAGCTGAACCGCCAGGTTAGGACAAATAATATTGCAGATTCTTCTTTGGATCTTATCAAGGAGCTCCAGGTAAATAGTACGAAAGGATCTAGACGAGTGGCCGTTCAGGATAACTCTCACTTCTCGATTTGATAGGAAAGACTGGATCAGTTCAAAAAAGATTCCGGGGACACCGTAACTTTTCAGCTTTTGTGAAGAAGACCTGAATGCCAAACCCTGTCAAAGGTTTTCAAGATGTCCAATGCAACAGCCTGGGTTTCACCGTTTTTATCTAGGGCATGATAGACTCTTTCCGAAAATATCGTCAGTACATCAGCAGTTGATCTGGAGAAACAAAAGTCATATTGCTTGTCTGAGAAGAGGCTCTGCGATGAGGTATGATGGACGAATTCAGAATTGATTAGGGCCTCTAGGAGTTTCCCACCAAAAAAAAAGGTAGAAGGCTGATAGTTGGAAGGGTTGGATGTCTCACCAGAGTTCTTAAAAACTGGAACAAAAGAAGATGACCTCCAGCAGGCAGGAAAGCAGGAGGCATCGAGACATTTATTATACAGTTTAGAGAGAACAGGAGCCAGTTCGGGAACACAATTCTTAATGACTATTACAGGGAAATTACAGGCCCACATTTTGGAGATCTAGATTAAAGCTGATAGCAGAAACCACGGAAGAGAATATATGTATATCACTCAACAGAATTCTAAATGGGGAGTTAGGCAGGGATATTCCGAATGAGTCAAGAGTAGAGTTTGAGGAGAATTTACGGGCAAATCATTCAGCTTCATTAGCAGAGGTTGATAACACCTCAAATGATTGAGGAGGGGACGAATAGAGATCTTACACTTATTTAATACCGCCAGTAATCACGAGAGCCAAAGTTGTTAGAGGCTATGCTGTACCTCATTCTCTCATCAAATAGGCGCCTAGAGAAAGAATTGAGGTTTCATTTGGTATTTCCGGGTGGGGATTAAAGCATCCATGCTGGATGTGATCCAAGACGAAACTTCAGTGACGCAATTTTCAATTCGGTTTAAAGATGCCAGTCCAAAGGGCGTCATGGAGAAAATCACGGAGTGGGTCCCAATCAGCATGCTGGTAACAGAAAGACGTCTTGTGGATAGGATGTTCCTGCTTAATAGAGGATTGGAACAAAA